GGAAGACAGTGTGGCAATTCCTCAGGGATCTAAAACTAGAAATACCATTTGACCCAGCCATCCCATTACTGGGTATATACCCAAAGGATTATAAATCATGCTGCTATAGAGACACTTGCACACATATGTTTACTGTGGCACTATTCACAATAGCAAAGACTTGGAACCAACCCAGTTGTCCATGAATGATAGACTGGATTAAGAAAATGTGGCACATAGACATCATGCAATACTATGCAGCCATAAAAAAGGATGAGTTCATGTCCTTTGTAGGGACATGGATGGAGCTGGAAACCATCATTCTTAGCAAACTAACACAGGAACAGAAAGTCAAACACCACATGTTCTCACTCATAGGTGGGAATTGAACAATGAGAACACTTGGACACAGGATGGCAAACATCACACACCGGAGCCTATTGTGGGGTAGGGGGATGGGGGATGGATAGTATTAGGAGAAATACCTAATATAAATGACGAGTTGATGGGTGCAGCACACCAACATGGCACATGTATACATATGTAACAAACCTGCGCGTTGTGCACATGTACCCTAGAGCTTAAAGTATAATAAAAAATAAATTAAAAAATTTTTAAAAAAGCCTTCCTTCGACTTGATATGAACCGCACACCAAGTCCTAGGTAAAGACTTAAGGTCATATCATATATAAGGCTGGCCATTTCTTGGGTCACAAATTGGATAGGTGATCAGATTGTAAGTACAAGTTCCTAGGTGAGTCCCTGCACACTCGTCATAAATATAGTATAATAGAGTCCTAGTTATACTGTTTCCTGACCATGTAGTATATGTACAATGGGGACACCCTTTTAAGGGTACTTTTAGCATGGTTAAGGGGGGTCATAACAGCAAAACAATGTACGGCATATTCATATCCAGCAAGGACAGAAGAGGTCCTTGCCTGGGGGAGGAGGTTGAGCACAGCGACAGAACAATAGTAAAACAGTATTAAAAGGCAAACTACTCGTCCTAAGATTTCTAACCACATTTACTCGCTTGATGACTCCTCATGCTTCGGCCGTGCATAGTCAGCTTCGGGTGTGTGACTAGAGCAGGGCTTGTCTCCTTAAGCTTCAGCCATGCGTACACTGCTCAGCCTCCAGAGTGACCACAGCAGGGCAGTTGTCCTCAGCAGCAGCTCTTCTCAGGATCAGCCGGGTTGGATGATCTGGGTCCTGCTGGCTGGTCCACTTGTCTTGAGCTGCCGGTTTCAGCCTACTGTGGTGGATCCAAGACATAACACCTGCAACTTTAACAGCAACGGGAGTGGACAAGATTACAGTATAGGGCCCATCCCATATGGGTCCTAGAGAAGTTGGATTCCACTTTTTAACCCAAACAGAGACTCCAGGTTTAAAGGGGTGTACTGGGTCTGTCAGGCTTATAGGCATCCTTTCTTGTACCCAGCTATGGACGTCTTGCATGGCTATTCCTAATGCCTGCATTTGCTTTCTTAAGGTTAATTCCCGTAGTCCCCAGAGATCATGTTTTATTTCACTTATGACTGGGGGAGGCTGAGCAAACAAAATCTCATAGGGTGAATACCCAGTTTGTTTGGAGGGGGTGCACCTGACTTGGAGGAGGACCATAGGCAAGACCTGATCCCATCTCAGATGAGTTTCTTGGCACTATTTCTTCAGTAGCTGCTTGAGTGTCTGTTCATGCATTCTAGTTTTCCTGAACTTTGGGGCCGATAGGCTATGTGTAACTTCCATTTTATTTTTAACAGTCTTGTTAAATCTTGCACTATTTCAGCTACAAATGCTGGCCCATTGTCTGATCCTAAAGTTAGAGGCAGTCCAAACCTGGGGATAATATCTTGTAACAGTACTTTAAGGCCGGGCGCGGTGGCTCACACCTGTAATCCCAGCACTTTGAGAGGCCAAGGCGGGTGGATCACCTGAGGTCGGGAGTTCAAGACCAGCCTGATCAACATGGAGAAACCCCGTCTCTACTAAAAATACAAAATTAGCCAGGCATGGTGGCGCATGCCTGTAATCCCAGCTGCTCAGGAGGCTGAGGCAGAAGAATCGCTTGAACCTGGGAAGTGGAGGCTGTGGTAAGCCGAGATCACGCCATTGCATTCCAGCCTGGGCAAAAAGAGCAAAACTCCGTCTCAAAAACAAAACAAAACAAAAGAAAAACAGTACGTTAGTCACTTCTTGTGCTTTTTCTGTCCTGGTGAGGAAAGCCTCAGCCCATTCTGAAAAGGTGCAAATAAGCACTAGATATACCGGTATCCTCCAGCACAGGGCAGTTCAGTGAAGTCTATATGCAAGTTTTCCCAAGGCATGGCTTCTACTTCTTGAATTCCTGGGGGCCGTGTGGGCCTTTGTCACAGGTTGTTCTGAGCACAGGTTAAACATGGCACACAGATGGCTCGAGCGATGGCAGAGAGCCGTGGCACGTAGAGATGATATTTTAATTATGTTTCTAGTGCTGTTTTCCCCATTTGTGTTCCCTGATGAATTTGTTGTACAAATGTAGGAGCTAACATCTCTGGAATGGCTAATCTCCCATTGAAGAACTTCCACCACCCTCCTTTAATATATTTTCCATCTTCTTGGGCAAACCAGGCTCTTTCCTTTGGAGTATAACTTGGGTCCTCTTGGAGAGGAGGTCCTGGGAGGAGAGGCACAGATTAAGGCTTTCTCTTTAAAATGCAACGTAATCATTGCTGCTTTGCCTCTCCGTCTGCCTTTCTGTTTCCTTTGGCTTTTGGTGTTCCTGCCTTTTGGCGCCCTCTACAGTGCATTACAGCTACTTTTTCTGGAGCCCATACAGTCTCTAAGAGCTGTAGAATCTCTTGTTTATACTTTATTTCTTTGCCTCCAGCTGTTAAAAGTCCTCTCTCTTTAGATACAGCTCCATGTACATGTAATGTAGTAAAAGCATACTTAGAATCAGTGTAGATATTGACCTTTCTGTCTTTTGCTAGGAACAGTGCTCTTGTCAGGGCTATTAATCAATTCTGCCTTTTGAGCTGATGTTCCAGTAGGCAGAGACTGAACTTCTATTATTGGGTCCAATGTTACCACTGCACACCCAGCATGTCAGATCCCTTCTAGCACAAAACTGCTTTCATCTGTAAAATACTCAACGTTGGGTCTCTGAGGGGTTGGTCTGTAAGATCTTTCTGGCTGGAGAATACCTCGTCTACTATTTCAACACAGTCATAAAGGGGAGCTCCCGGTTTGACTGGGAGCAAAGTAGCCAAGTTTAGGGTGTTTACCGTTTTCGAAATAACGTAAGCGTTTTCCCATAGAATCCCTTGGTACTGGGTCACTCTCGGGTTTGATAACCAGTGATGTCCTCTTTGATCCATGAAAGTTATGACTGAGTATGGCACCCGGACGATTAGCTGCTGTCCTAGAGTTAGTTTGCTAGCTTCTTGTGTTAACAAGATGGTGGCAGTTAATGCTTTAAAGCAAGGAGGCCATCCTAGCTCCATAGAGTCCAATCGTTTGGATAAATATGCCACTGGGCGGTGCCATGACCCTGTAACTTGAGTCAGAACTCCCATAGCCATTCCCTTTCGTTCATGAACATACAGAAAGAAAGGCTTAGTTATATCTGGTAGTCCTAAGGCTGGGCCCTGCGTTAAAGCATCTTTGATCTGTTTGAATGCTATTTCCTGATTAGTCTCCCAATGGAGGGTCTCATTTTCTCCCCACTTTGTGGCTTCAGGTAACAGCTTAGCCATCAGTGAGAAATTTGGAATCCAGATGAGGCAGAATCCTGCAGTCTCTAAAAATTCGATTATTTGATGTTTGGTGGTTGGGGTTGGAAGCACACAAATGGCTTGTTTCCGCTCATAGCCAAGCCGCTGTTCCCCGTGGCTCACTGCGAAACCTAGCTATTTCACCTCTTCATGGCAAAATTTGGGCTTTCTTTTTACATACCTCATAACCTGCTTTCCATAGGAGATGGAGGAGGTCCCAGATTCCCTGATAACATTCCTCTTGGACTGGGGCTGCCCAAAGGTCGTCCACATACTGTAACAAGGCGCAGTTATCATTTGGTGGGGTATAGGCCTTGAGGTCTGAAGCCAATGCTTCCCCAAAGACTGTGGGAGAATTTTTAAACCCTTGTGGGAGCCTAGTCCAGGTGAGCTGTAGAGCTTCTTTGTCCCATTGAAAATGCAAAGATAGGCTGACTAACGGGTGCCAAGCAGATACAAAAGAAAGTGTCCTTTCAGTCTAAGACTGTAAACCAGGTAGCACTTGCCGGAATGAGTGCCATTAAAGTATACGGGTTGGGTACCACTGGATGAATGGTTACCATGGCCTGCTCCCTTTACGGTGCAGCGCACTCTTACACACTCACTCTTCCTCTCGTTTTGGCTGACTATACCGTCTCCTATTACGTGAGTTTCCAGACGCTGCTTGGCTTTGGAGAGTTCCTTATTCCTGCTACAACTGCTGCAGTCATAGAGCAGCTCCTGTTAGCCGTATGCAGATTGCCTCTCGTCTTTGCTGGCCCCACACTTCGCTCGGAGCACACAGTCCATGCTAAGAAATCTGTGACTCCCCACTTCATGACTGATGAGCTTAATTAGGCCCCTTCATTTATACACTTTCACTCACTTCCCCACTCCTGGTTCCTGTGTTTCCAACTGGGGTGGCAAGTCACTCTCCCTACCTCCAGTTTCCTTTTCCTAACTGACTAAGTGAGCCACTCCCGCATCCTGTGTCAGTTGGGGTGTGAGTTCCATCCAAATTGGCGAGCCACTCTTGCCGCCCGCAGCCCCTCTGGGTTGGATTAATAGTCACACCGTAGGAGGTGATCAGGCTCCCCTTCTGTCCTTATGGGACGGGTCTTGACTTGGGTACCAAAACCTTACCATGGTTCCTGAACCACGCTGTTTCTGGAACTGTCCTGTAGCCCCTCAGTTTCCATTGTGCTGCTGGGTAGAGGCGCCAGGTCATGGGAGAGCTGATTTCCCCTCCTGGCTGAAGTTCTCCCAGCATCGCCTGGGGCCATGATCGCCTACTGGACCAACTTTGCCAAAACAGGGTAAGGCGTGGGTTGAGAGCAGGGCGAAGGGCTGCAGCCAAGAAGGGCCTCCCACCACGAGGCCCTGTTCCCTCACTTGCCAGCGGAGGGACTTTGGGCAAGTCACTTAACCTTCCCCTGCATCGGAATCCATGTGTGTTTACGAGGATAAGAGCTACTGGCAGAGCCCCAAGCCCGCGCACGTGCACAGCCTGTGTCCCGTATGCAGTGAGGGGCCACGGTGCCCAGGGCCAGCTCAGAGGATGGGGATGGCTCAGGCAGGCGGGTGCAGAGCAGGGCTTCAGCCCCCTGGGAGTCCCCAGCCCCTGCACAGCCTCTTCTCACTCGGCAGGGACCCCAACATGGGCGACTCGGCTGTGCCCACACACTGGGAACCCTACACCTCGGAAAACGGCAGCTACCTGGAGATCACCAAGAAGATGGATGGCAGCTCCCTGAAGTGGGGCCTGAGAACCAACTTCCTTCGCTACTGGACCCTCACCTATGTGGCGCTGCCCACGGTGACCGACCGGGAGGCCACCCCTGTCCCCACCACGGGTGACTCTGAGTCTGCCCCCGTGCCCGCAATGGGTGACTCTCAGGACACCCCTGTGCCCCTCACAAGTGACTCTGAGGCCGTCCCTGTGCCCACCTCGGGTGACTCCAAGGCTTCCCCCATCCCCACTACTGGTGACTCTGAGGCCGCCCCTGTGCCCCCCACAGGTGACTCCAAGGGAGCTCAGATGCCTGCAGTCATTGGCTTCTAGCATCCCACGAGCCTTGGTCTCAAGAGGCCGCAAGGGTGGGACCCCAGAGGCTCCCCTCCCGTCTTTAGCACTTCCTGAATAAAACCTCATTTCCCTGTCTGGAGTCTTTCTTTGCTCCCAGGGCTAAGCTGCAGGAAGGAGTGGCCCTCGGTCACCCTTACAGCACCAGGTAGGGGCCCAACCTGTGACCCCATCATCTCGCACAATCCCCAGGCTCCGGGACGTCGATGGTGGCATCCTCACTTTTGAGTGGAGGAGGCGGGCCCAGGGAAGTTGATTGGCAGGCCCAGGAGTGGGAGTCAGGCACAGGTCACTCCAGAGCCTGACCTTCCCTGAATGGAACCAGGCTGCTGGCCCCCAGGGGTTAGATTCTGTCCCAAATGGTGGGAGGGCCTGGTGGCAGCTGCAGTCAGAGAAGGAGGCTGTGGCCTCCTCTGGACTAGGGGAGCCCAGCCACACCCACATCCTCTGGGTGCAGGGAGTAAAGTCTGTGTTCTGACTGGGGTCTTGGGAACCCACCTGGGAAAAGAAGGGGATTCTGCTCCTCCAGCCGGATCCAAGTCAAAGAAAGAATCACACATGACTCCAGGAGGTTGGAAGCAGAGGATGGGGAGGGCGCTGGGCAGTAGGCGCTGGGTGGTGGGCCTCTAGGGGGAAGAGTCAGGAAGCACTCCTGCCTCTGCTGGCTCCAAGCCCGGGCACATCACCGAGCAGCTGACCAGCCTGACCTCACTATGGCCTTGTGGGGGGGGGTACTGTGCACACCCTCATTTTAGACGTTTATAGATATTCAGAGGAAAATGAGGCCCTGAGAGGGCATCACGTGCCCAAGGTCACTCAGAGCAAGGATTTGAACCCAGAAACCTGACTCCAAAGCCAGTGCTCGGAACAACGTTGGGGGGTCTTCTTCCCCAGTCCTCACCCACCTTCTAAGCGGGCGCTGCGGGGCAGGGTGGGGCTCAGATGAGAGAAGATTCTGGAATCCTGAGCAACTTTGCCTGGGAGGGCTCCACGGTGGAGGGCAGCAGCACCCAAGGACCAGCTAGCCACTCTCTCTGTCCCTCCAGCCTACAGGTGGGAGAATAAGTCTCAGGGCCGACAAGTCCTGTGGCCCTCATGCCGCAGAGCTGAGCCGGGACGAACCCTGTACCCCGGAGAAGCAGGGGACACCCTGGCTGGCTGTGACCACTTTGGCCACCCTGGTCTTCCTGGGTTGGTCGAGGGGTCTCCGGTGTATAAAGGGGACTCCCTGTCAAAGACTGAGTGAGATGGAACTGCCCAGCAATGTGGGCCTCTCCCAGAGACTGTCCCTGTTCTCTTGGGCAATGGAAGCCTGAGGATACAATGATGTGTCCCTCTTGGCCGCACTGGTACCCACAGGGATTATTGTGTTTCTACCTGTGGGGTCAGCTCTCAGGAGCCTCCAGCACTGTGGGAGAAACCCCTGGGACTCTAGTGCCTCTTCCCAGCCCTCAGGACTGGCACCTGTCTCTTGTTGAGAGAAAGCACAGTCATGCCTGTCATTCAGAAAATCACATCCCTGGATGGCCAGGCCACGTCAGAAGGGATGGGCTGTGGGGATCCAGGTGCGTTCCACCTCTGGGCTGCACCCACCTTGCCTCGGGTTTGGTTTGAATGCTTGTCCCCGCCAAAACTCATGCTGAAATTTAATCCCCAATGTGGCAGTGTTGAGAGGTGCTGCCTTTAAGAGGTGATTGGATCATGAGGGTCCTGCCCCTGTAAATGGATTCATTCATTCATGGATTCATGGTTAATGGGTCATCATGGGAGGGTAGCTGGTGGCTTTGTAAGAGGAAGAAAGACTAGAGCTAGCATGTGAGCAGGCTCAGCATCCTCACCACGTGATGCCCAGTACCACCTCGGGACACCAGAGTCCTCACCAGCAAGGCCCTCACCGGATGCAGCCTCTCTGAGGCAGGAGGAGAGGGAATTAGGGAAGCCAAGGGTTAGGGCGGAAGCAACGGAACAGCAGGTGCAGTCAGTTCACATAAGCCAGAGAACAGCAGGTGCAGCCAGTTCACATAAGCCAGAGAACAGCAGGTGCAGCCAGTTCACATAAGCCAGAGAATAGCAGGTGCAGCCAGTTCTAGGCAGGATTGGGGAGCACACAGGCCACATCCTCACTCCTGTGATAACAAGTCAGGAGCTTCCACTTCAGCCTCTGATTGACCGTGGGCCAACCCCCTTCAGCCTTTGATTGGTCCCAGGCTAATCGTTCATAGGCTGTAACCAATTGGAGGCCTCTAAAGGGCATCTGGGTGTGTTCTTTATAAAAACCCTGAGAAGCGTTGCAATCACGAGGCTCTTGAGTCGTTTGCTCGGGCCTGCTCCCACCCCGTGGGTTGTATGTTCGCTTCGTCAATCAATCTGTGCCTTTGGTACGCTGTTCTTTTGTTTTTTGTTGTCGTCGTTTTGGTTTTTGTGTTTTTTTTAGACGGAATGTCACTCTTGTTGCCTGGGCTAGAGTGCAATGGCACAATTTGGGCTCACTCTAAACTCTGCCTCCTGGGTTCAAGTGATTTTCCTGCCTCAGCCTCCCAAGTAGCTGGGATTACAGGTGCCGGCCACCACGCCCAGCTAATTTTTTTTGTATTTTTAATAGAGACGAGGTTTCACCATGTTGGCAAGGCTGGTCTTGAACTCCTGACCTCATGTACCTCGGCCTCCCAAAGTGCTGGGATTACAGATGTGAGCCACTGCGACTGGCCTGTTTTGTCTGTCATTGCTTCGTTCTTTGGTTACTTGGTGAGTTTTGTTCACTTCTTTGTTCAACACACCAGTAACCTGGGCAAGTCATGGCCAAGACCTTCCATCCTGTAACACCTCAACCTTGGACTTCTCAGCCTTCACAATTGTGAGAAATCCCTTTGCTTTATAAATTACCCAGTTGTGGGTATTCTGTTATGAGCAACAGAAAATGGACTTTAAAAGCCTCTATGGCAGAGGTGAGCCCTGCTGTGTGTCTGGGTGATGCCTGCAGCTGTTGAGAGGGAGGGGACAACTCGGAGTCGCCTGCAATCCATCTGGCTCTTGCCATTACAGACTCCAGAGAATGAAGTTGAAAATACAAAGGCAGGCTGGAGGCTGTCTGGGGTCCTGCTGACTCCCCATCCCAGGAAGCCCGGAAGAGCACTGGGGTGAGCTTGGGCCAGTGCGTGTTGACTGTCACAGGGTAAGTGTTTGAGCGCTTCATTGTAAGGCTGTGGCCTTCTGTGCTTGTGGATCCTCAGTCTCAGTGGCTTCCCTCCCCCCCCAACCCCAACTCCCGTGTCTCATGTTTAACACCCCCACCCCCCACCAGGACATAACCAAATATCAGGCTGTGGACAAAAATACAGTCACCCCAGGAGGCTACAAGCTCTAAAGCCTCAGGGCCCAGCTACCCTTTTAGGATGGGTCAGTAACAACACGACTCAGTCTGTAAACTGGTGATCACCTGAGACTGGACCTCAGCACCACCGGGCCCTGGGCTTCACCTTGGCCATCGGGGGAGACGATGGAGGTCTTTTGCTGGCAGGAATCAACACCCTTATCCTGGCAACCAGTGCTCACTGGGCATTCATGAGGCTCCAGCAGGACGAGTGGCCACAGTGTGCAGGGCAGACGGGCTGGGGCTTTCCAAGGTGTTTCCGGATGACATCACTCACACAAGGGGTTGTAGGAATGCTGGCGTCCTGGTTCACAGGTAGACGCTAGAATAACACGTCACTCTGGAAGGTCAGAAGCAGAGGATGCCAAGGGTGCTGGGTGGCAGGTGCTGGGTGGGGGGCCCCTAGGGGGTGCCCAGTGGCTCTGGCAGAGGGTAGGGTCGGGACTACCCACATCTCTTCCGGGTCCAAGCCCAGGCAGTGCACTGAGCATTTGACCAGCCTGACCTCACCATGGCCTTGTGACGTGGGCACTGTGGGCAGGAATGCTTATGGAATGAGGCCGACTGTAGCCCTAACACAGCGTCACAAGTCTTTCCCCAGACAGAAAACGCACAGGCAATGGAAATCTATGGTTAGGAGCAAGGATTCCCTTCTAAGAAAAAGCGTGGACCACAGGCCTCTAGAGGGGACTGAGGGGGCAAAGTCCTGCCCGTACACTGGCTAACACTCTTCCTTCAGCTTTCCCCTCGCTTTTCATATTGTACATTTTCTCTGTTTATAATTTGTCTTAGTGCTGACTAAATTCCAGAGTTAGACCTTGAAATCCACAAGTTCCTAATTGGTGGTCAACAGAAACCTCAGCAAGACGAGCAGAAAATGCTCCTCTTCCCCAAAGCTGTAGAAAGGCAACCACTAACCTGGGCTAGGAAATGGTCCTTGCACATACTATTTTTTTTAATTGTGGTAAAACATATATAACATAACTTATGCTAATATAACTGTTTTTAAGAGTAGAATTGAGTGGCATTAGTTCGATTCACTGTTGGGCAACCATCACCACTATTTCCAAAATTTTTTTCATCACCCCAAATAGAAGCTCTCTATCCATTAGCTAACTCCTCATTTCCCCTCCCTGTAACCCCTGGTAACCTCTATCCTTTCTGTCTCCATGAAATTTGCCTATTGGAGATGTTTCTCATAAGTGGGATTATAATGTTTTCGAAGTTCATCCATGTTGTAGCATGTGTCAGCACGCCATACCTTTTTTTTTTTTTTTTTTGGAAGCAGTTTCCATCTTGTTGCCCACGCTGGAGTGCAGTGGCACAATCTTGGCTCACTGCAACCTCTGCCTCCCGAGTTTAAGCAATTCTCCTGCCTCAGCCTCCCAAGTAGCTGGGATTCCAGGGGCTCACCACCATACCCGGCTAATTTTGTATTTTTAATAGAGATGGGGTTTTACCATGTTGGTCAGACTGGTCTTGAACTCCTGACCTCAAGTGATCCACCCACCTTGGCCTCGCAAAGTGCTGGGATTCCAGGCATGAGCCATTGCACCTGGACTTTTTATGACTGAGTAATATTCCATTGTATGTTGCTGGCATGCAATGGTGCATTCTCTTAGAAAGCATTCTCTTCTCATCCTTTTTATTTCTGTAAAGTTGGTAGGAATGTTCCCACTTTCATTCCAAATTTTAGTAATTTGAGT